GCTTTCTTGCATTCCAAAGCCTCCTCTTTTGTGCCTTAAAATCCTCTTTCGCCTCCTCTTGGCATTGATTCACAAGTTGGACAAATATTCTTCTTTTCTTCATGCAAAATCATCCACGTTCACATTTATTTATAATTCCTATAAAAGCAAAGAAAAGACATTAAACTAACAAAAATGCTTGAAAACTTACAAATATTCAAGCTTAAAAATACTTAATTTGTTGGTAAAAATACCCGTCATCAATATGCATAATAAAAAATAGAAAAAAAAAATTAACTTAAAAATTTTAAAAGAGTATACATTAAGCGGTAGCATGCATATCCTAACAGTAATTTCACCACCTAACACATTATAAAGTATAAAGTTTGAATTCCTCACATATTTATTTTTGAAAGAAAGAGTACACGTTAATAGTAGTTAAGTCAAAATGTTATATTTAATCATATAAATACATGAAAACATTATAAATTATAAGATAACAAAATAAAAAAATAAAGAAGTAGAAACTTAAATAAAAGAAAAGGAAAAAAAATAAAACACTTAGAACTCACCATTCTAAACTACCATAGTTATGAACATAAATTGTGACATAAAAAAATAACAAAAAATAGAGGAGTTAAAGAATAAAGCACTTATAACTCGTTGTTTTGGACTATTATAAGATGAATAATAACTACAAATCGACTCCTTTCTATATTTAAGGTAGGGGTGATAATTTGTGTTAGAGGGTTGTGTTCGTATCAATCCCTTTATTAATCGTGTCAGAAAATATCAATTTAAATACGATCCATTTATTAAATGTGTCAAAAATGTCAATTTAAACACGATCTATTTTTTAATCGTGTCAACCCGTATAACCCGTTTAAATTAATATATTGAATAAATAACTAATATAATAATGACTTAGTTAACACGATTATAACAGGTTTAACATGTTTATTAATTATCTTTTCCTTTAAGAAAAATAAATAAATTTTACTTATAAATATTAAAATTCATATTATTTGTATTTAATATGTCATATAAACTTTCATGTTATATCTCATATCATTAGATTGCAAATACACATTTAGTTAATCGTGTCACTTCGTGTTAGGAGGTCAACACAAACCCAACCCGTTTATTAATCGTGTCAACCCGATTATGACCCAAACTTATTTATAGTAAGCCCAAATCCATTAACTTTGTGCAGGTTTCGAGTCGTGTTCTTGTCATGACCTAAATTGTCACCTCTAATTTAAGGTTTAGGATTCAACAGATATGGAAAATTAAAAAAGAAAAGAGTAAAAAAAAAAGCACAAAAAAGGGAATGAAAAAAAAAAGAAAAAGAAATAAAATAGTTGAAAGGAAAGGCAGGAAAAAAAAAAACGAACCAAAGAAAATAAGGGAAAAAGGAAAGAGATAATCATAAACATGGTGTGTATATGAATAGTTAGAATAGAATTTAGGATAAGAGCAAAATAGGATGTAAGATAAAATTTAGGATTAGAATTATGA